GTCCCTCGCCCTCCCACGCCTTGCTGCGCTGTCCCACTGCCGGGGCCCGGCCCAGGTCTTGCTGTTCAAGAAGGGTCAGAGCACGTACCGGAGAGGAGAAGGGATTTAATCCAGCCCAGGGTTTGAAAAGGCTGGGACTCGAGCAGCCAGCCCTAAACATCCACCCTTTTCTGTGGTGTCTTGTTTAGCAAATAGTTATCTGCCATTAAAAGTAAAGATTTAAGATCCAGAAAGTGGTGTCTGCATGGGCAACGTGCTGAGGAGAAGGCCATTTCTTAGCGCTTAGTTAATTTTGAGGCTTCTGTTGTTCCTGGCTTTTAGGACATTTCCTACCCTGACAATCTAGGGGAAATGAATACGGCCCGTCTGCGTGGCCATTTATCCAAGTTAAATGGGGCCACGGGGCTGCGTTTCTGTACAGGCAGTCAGAGGGCGTGATACAGCGTTTGTGCTGCTTCATTCTGCTCTGCTGGCAGCAGGAAATTCCCCTTGGAGCCTGCCAGTACAGAACGAAAGCACCCAGCTTCGTTTTGACTTGGCAGCAGAGAGTGTTTGGGCTTACAGGGCAGTGGTGCTTTTGACTCCATACCAGGAACCCAGCAACCTGATTTGTCGTGTTGTTGCAGTGCAATAAATAGGCGTGAGGGACTTTTCCCCTGCTGAGGATCTGGAGCAGAGCAAGCAGAGTTCCTCCTGGGTGAGCTGGGAGATTGTTAGATCTGTTCTGCCCAGGATCTCGAAATAGTATGAGTCAATAAGAAAAGGGGGTTTTCAAGGTGTGAGCTCCAGCTGTTCCTGCTTCCTGGGGTAACAGTGAAGCCGAGATCCAGGGCAAGGATCTGAACCTCTTTTCTTCTCCGCAGAGCACCTTGAGTGATGCCCAAGAAGTTCCAAGGTGAAAATACCAAGTCGGCTGCTGCCCGCGCAAGGAAAGCTGAGGCAAAGGCAGCAGCCGATGCCAAACGTCAGCAGGAGCTGGAAGATGCCTACTGGAAGGATGAAGACAAACACGTGATGAGGAAGGAACAAAGGAAGGTGAATGGCTAGTCAGGTAGCTAGGGTTGCGAGGGTTGCTTCTCCTCCTCTGTCCCCCGGCTGTAGCTGTGTCTCCACACATTTTCCTGCGCTTAGTTTTAGGCAGAAGAGCTGGAACTAGTGGCTTCTCTGGGAGCTAAAAGAAGCCGAGTGTGGGAGTAAGTGTAAGCTTTGATGTGTAATTCAGAAATCTGGTGGATCTTAGAGCTGGCTTCCCGAGGGAGGCAGTAAAAGCTTGATTGTTGGAATCATTTAAAATTGAATTAAGTAAAAGATCAGGGACTCTGCTGCAGGGCTTGATTTTTGCCCAAGCAGTTCTTTAGCTTCTTTTCCTTCGTTAGCTTTTCTTTGATTTTTGTAGAAGGAAAAAGAAATCAGCAGGGGTAAGGGTTGCAAAGGTTTTTTTTTTTCTTCCCAACTTGGTGTGCTACACATCAGGACATGTGTGTCTCAAAAAATGCTCTCCACTTCACTCTTGCTCCGCCCTGGGTGCCCGTTTGCCTCGGTGTTCAATAAACAGAGCACTTCAGTGCTCATTTCTGGGTTATTCGGTTTTTAATGTTGCCTGCATCAGCGTTAAACAAATCTACCTTCTGGTTTTGTGGATTTTTCTAGAAACGATTGTCAGTGATAACTTAGCTGCCTCTTCTGAAATGATTTATTTACCCTCCTGCTAACCAGACAGGGTTTCTGTTAATGGCATAAATGGGATTTATGGGGTTACTGGGTTTGTGCTGCTCTGTGAATTTGATGCTTACTGAACTTTGTGTGTTGGCACTCGAGCACACTGGCCAGGCAGGCAGGAAGCCAGCACATCCCCGTGACCTTGATAGCTGCGTGCTGCGTACATCTGCATGAGTTCACCCCTAATATGTGTCTTGACGTTTGGAATTAGCAGTCCTGTGTGCTGTTCCCCAACGCAGTCCTGTAATGCTGCCTAATTACTTCCTGGAACAAGGACTTATTATTGCTTTACTTAAGACTTGGCCAACAGTGACCTATTTGACTGGGCTTCCAAAACAGCCTCCTGCAGAGGCTGGAGAGGGGAGCTGTGTTGTCAGCTGGAATTGCTAACTGGAAAACCAGGCTCCATCCCGGAGCCTCAGACTGGGTTTTAGAGAAAGCAGCAAGGCGGTTTCCCCTCGGCACCTCAGCCATCCCCTCTCCCTGCAGCAGCACAGCCGTGGTCTCCAGGTCCAAATTTCACCCGAATGCTGTGTTTTAGTGCGTTTGCTTCCCACAAGCTCCCCTGGGGACCTTGCAGCTCACAGCAGCAAAAGTCTCCGCTCAGGTGGGGAGCTGTTCTGCCAGAAGGACTCCGAGCCTAACCGTACCCGTGTGGGGCTCTTCCTGCTGCGGGAGCCTCGCGCAGCCGCTGCCGCAAGCTAAGCAAAGGCTGGGGCTTTGCGTAGGTGAGCCAATGGCCAACAGACAGGAACGAGTGGGTTGCTGGGGGAAAATAAATCGGTGAAACCTTCCTCAGCTGCTTCTCCAGTGCCATCAGGCTGGAATATCCCCACGGAGAACGGAAGAAGCTGCCTGTGTTTCGCCGCAGCCCGGCAGGGAAGAGATGTGTGACTCAGATTGTAAATGACTTTCCATCCTCACCCTAGAGAGGACAGAAACCAAACCGTTCGCAGGAGTCAACCTTCCCCGGAGATGTAGCTGTTCCGCGGGTGGTGCTGGCATGGAAATAGCGCTGCCGGCCACGGCCATATGCTGCAGGAGGGACTCGCGTTGCTCTCGGCTACAGCACCCGGAGGAGGGGATTGGCGATGTGTGTGTAGGAGGATGCTCTCAGCACCTTGCAGTCAGCGCTCCGCAGCTCTTCCAGCTCTTCCCCAGCTCTCCGGGCGATGGCAGTAACACATTAACGGTGCCGCAGCTGCACGCACCTCTGAATTCCTGCGCTGCTAGCAGGCAGGAGCGGCCGAAAGCCTTTGGGACGTGCCGAGACCAAACCCTACGCACCCCTTTTAATCCCTTCCCTGCCGCAGATGACCACCGGAGCCTCAGTGAAATAAGTGAGAGTGCAGAGCTCTGTTTCTGTTCCGGGGCTTGGTGGCTCTGCCTGGCAGTCTGGAGGTCTCGCTGATGGGGCAGCGATGCACATCAGCGTTAATACTTGGGCGTAGGGAAGCTTAATGTTCAAAATGCAGTGCCTGCTTTTGTCAGGTTCACTGCCACCAGGCAACTGTCCCGTTGTTTGCTTGTGCTGCGTTTCAGGGTTTCTTTAGATGCTGCCTCCCCCCTGCTCTGAGAGCAACCTTCGGAGCTGATCTCTGCTAACAGAGGGTGACACTCGTTTGGTGGCTCTGTGATGCATAAAGGAACATCTGAGCTAATATCGCCAGCCTGCGATGTGTGTATTCCTCCTCTGGCGCTTCAGCACAAGTCACAGCTTGTTACCTTCCCTGGAGAGCTCTGGCTGGAAAGCACAAAATTGACATCCTTCTTGCTGGAAGACTCAGTTTTACCTCGGTAACTGCTTTTCTTTTAACATTCAGGTGTTTTCGTCCTTTCCGTCCCTTCCTACGCAAGGTTAGACTGCAGCGCAGAGCATGGCACTCCTCATCAGCGTGATCACAGTGTGGTTTTCTCTGTGCAATTAGCTAAAGTGGAACGGCCACGGCTGCGTGTGCGTCCTAGGTGAAGCTGCGGGCAGGCTTGGAAGGGTGACAAACCATTAATTTGGCTGGAGCGTTACGGGAAGAAAGGACCGGTGGAGTATCTGCCAAGGGCAGAGGTCTCGCAGTGGGAGTCAGACCTTTGTCTCTCTGGTGACCTTGGGTTTAGCCACTTTGTGCCCTGTGGGTACGCGCAGGAAGGTCTCGCTGGCTGGGACTGCTGCTGGAGCCGAGGTGCCCGCTGGAAGGACGCAGCCAAATTCCCAATCTCCTTCCCAAACTCTCGCTGGGGCTGTCTGGCTGAGGGAGGACAAGCCCTTCTCCCCATTCAGGCTGTATTTTGTGTGGGCTCTGTTTGCTGAGTGCCTGTATGCCAGGAGGGCAGTTCCTCCTTGTTGTTCAGCAGCAGCTCAAAGCCCCTTGGCACCTTTCTCTCTGCCCGGCGTGCCACGGTGTCGGCAGCACCGTCCTGTGGAGGTCTTTCCCGTGACTTCGCTCAGTGCCCTCAGTGGGAACGGCGAAGGGAGGGCGTGCGGATGATATGGGAGCGAGGAGACACTTTGTACTCGTGTACAAAGGATCTGGGGAAAGATTCAAGTTAAATGCTGGGCGAATGCTTGTGCTAGAAGAGCGCAGAGAGTGCACGAGGGAGCAGTGACTCTTTTGGTGCAAGTTTTATGCCTTTCTCGTTCCCGTTAGCCTTGGTCACGGGGTGTGGGCTGGCAGGCTCGTGTACCGGCAGGTCCCAGCTGCAGTGGTACCGCAGGCAGGCGAGTGGTGACTTTCTCTCCCGCCCCTCCTCTGATTCAGTGCAGAATTACTCAGCTGTGAGCACCAGTTCTTATTCAGATAAAATGCGAGACAGGTCAAATGACTGTTCTTCCCTCTTTGGAGGACATCTGCGTGGTACCGGGCACACAATATTGAAATCTGATGGCTTGAATGAGCAATGCAGGAGACAGATGTAGTGGAGCGACACCTGATGACGCCAGGCTGGCATTCAGACCCCAGAACCAACTTTCTCAGGCTCCGGTATCCCTTTGGTGCTTGCTTTGACTGCCGGTGGGCAAAGGAAAGGGTGTGTTTGATCCCATCTCAAAGCTCCAGTGTACCTCAGATAGCCCAGCGAGCGCTTAGACACGCTCCGGGTCGGTTATGCTCCGTTCGCTTTCTGACTGCGTCATTTTTTTTTTTGCATCGCTTTGCCCTTCTGCCGTGCGAGAAGCGGCGTGCTTCGCCAGGCTGGTGGCACGCTCTCCAGCCTTCCTCAGGGCCTCACGCTAAGAGTTTGATTGGGGGAGCGCTGCTGCTTCAATTGACTGCCTGCTCTCAAAGCCATGTGCGTGGGACCTTGTTCTCCTGTCTAGCAGGTGGGAAGCTGTTCTGAAAGCTAATGAATTGGTCCTTGCTCAGGCTGTTCTTTGCAAGGCTGGAAACTCACATTTTAACGCACGAATCCTGGCGAACAGGAGCGTCCAGCTAAAGAAACCTCACACCCTGCTCCTCCCAGTGCCCTGCGACGTGCAGCAATGTTGAGGGAGAAAATTATTCATTTCCTTTTTAGTTCTCTAATAGCTTTGCGGTACGTTTCACTTCGACAAATCCAAGCCTCTCTGTTCATCAGGACATTTAAGCTGATTCATAAAGGATTAGTTTGGTTTGGCCCAGCCGAAGAAAAGTCGTCAAAAATGGCAGCTTCGGGATCAGCGAGCAGGCGTCTCGGAGCTGCTGCCGCTTTTGAGCACCGCAGAAGGTGCAGAGCAGACCTGGACGTGACGGGCCGCTGGGGAAACCTGAGCATGTAGATTTTGCGGGTCTTGTGACAAATTAGTAACAGTGCCAGCTTATTTACTTTCCGCAAATAGAAACTCAATTGTAAATGCCAGAGAGCAGGGAGTAGCTTAACCCAGCAGCTGGGGGAGAGGAGTAACTGGAGGTCCCCTGCGGCATGCAGTGCAGGAGGAAGGTGCTGCACCCTGCTTGTGCCCCTGTTTCCCCTTCGCTAAGTGGATACGTCCTCTTTGGAGAGTTTTGTTTGAAAGGAGCTCACGGCAGCAGAGAATTATCCTTGAATTTCTGCTCTGTCAGACGTGTCGTCATCCCAGCTGGGGCTGTGTGGCATGAGACAGGCTGCTGAGCTAGCTGCCTTGTAGGACAGTTCCCTTTCTGTAAGAAGCAGGGGTAAAGAAAAAGGATCTTCTCTAACTGTAAATAACATTTCTGTTCTGAAATGTCTTGCTCCCTTCCTTTAGGTCATTAGTACTTGTGTATCCACTCCTTATCTGTCTCCTGAATTATTCAAGCCACAGCCACGCCTGCAGCCTTGCTGAGGTGCTCGCCGTGCCAGCACCTTCTCTGGGTTACCTTGTTCAGTCACCCCCGAGCTTCAGAGACGGGACGAGCAGTCAGGGACAGTTTCTTTGCACTAGCCCGTGTTCTAGGCACGATCCCAGTATCCTGAATACGCAGTGCTGCTTCTCTTGCGTGGGCTTTACATCTCATTAAATGGCTTACTCTCTCTGGCTGCTGGACCTTTGGTGATTTTTGTGGCCCTCCTGTTTTGGCATGTTAATCTCTCCAGTTTTGGGGTTTCTCCTGCCTTCTTCCTTAAAACTGCCTGGTGCTCGGGCAGAAGCTGGTGGTCGAGCTGGAGATTCCATCTGGAGCTGTCCTGCACTGTGCAGAGTGAAGGTGGGCAAAGCCCCTGCAGCTGCTCTTGCTCAGGTATATCCCTGTGAGTAAATTTTTAGGGGGATAAGACAGTCTTCCCCCTCCTCTCGTGACACCCTTCCTGTACTAGGAGTGGCCAAAATCCCTCCTAATCTGGGAGACCGAGTACATTTGTTTACTTAACCTTTACTAGAAGAGGGAGAGGCCTGACAGGAAAGCAGCGGGCAGCGAAAGCCGATGTCTTAAATGAGTTTGTACTTTGAAATCATGCACGGTCCAGTTGCCGGGGCATTGTGTCTCAAGGCACTGGCACTAAGCGCTTAATGACCAAGAATTTGAAGACTGCCAGTTGTAATAAAGGCTTCATCCCTCTAATGGCTTTTTTTTCCCCATCCTTGGCCCCAGCTGCTCGGAGTGGAGGTAGGCACGGCTTCTCTTTCCTTCCCAGCTGGGTTGAAAGGCCTGGTCCTTGCTGCACTTGACGGAAGCAGCAGCAGCAGCCCGAGGGCATGTTTTGATTCAATATTTGTGGGTTTTGATTCTGTGTTTTGATGGGTTTTTCTTTAAACTCTTGAGCCGTGGAGCGACTTACGGGTTTTCTTGTTTAATAGAGTCTCAAACCCCAGCCTTGCTTACTGTCTCCGAAGTGGGCCCTACCCCAGTGTGCATAATTCTGCTCCTACTCCTTAAACACCAACAAAGACAGCAGGTTGCATTACTGCTGGGATGGTTTTGCTGTGCAGCTGCCTTTGAGTAAACCCGTTCTGTTACCACTCGATCGCTTTGTCGTGCCATCCCTGTGAATAATGGATGAGAGCCATAATTAAGTGTGCATGTAACTAACCTAAATACAAAGTGCTTTGCAGCATATGACGCTGCCCCAGACAGAGATGTTGACTTGGTTTTTTCTTTCTTTTTGCCAGACCTTACAAGCTTTGGGAGAAGAGGGAAAAAAAAACTCGAAGCCAAAGTGATAAAAGCTCCTAAGGGCCTGTTGCGTGGTCTTGTCACCCTCTTCCCTGGGCCTTGGAGGGCAAAGTGGCTCTTAAACTCCTTGTGAAGCACTTAAAAAATTACCACAAGAGCTGCATTGCTTGTTGGATTTGGTCTAACCACCTGCCCTGGCTCTTAGGAAGAGCATGAGCCAGGCCTGAGGACAAATTCAGCCTCTTGACTGGCTTGCCTCGAACAACTGCTGAACTTTCAACCTCCGACCACTTATTAAAATTGAAGTGGAAAACTTAATCTGATTGTCAGCAGCCCTGGCTGGTACTTCCCGCTCCTTCTCGACAGCAGGATTGTGTTTCGCAGTACTGACATCACGGGGAGCCAGCGTGTGGTTGCAGACGGGGCAGGGACAGGGGAATTATTATTCTGAAGGGATGGGTGAGGCTCTCACTGTCTCGCTGGAGGTCAGGGGGAACCAGCCGATGCCTCTCCTGATAAGGTGAGGTCAGCGCTGCATTAGCCGCAGAAGCGAGGTGCCTGTTCCTCTTCAAGTGGGCTTCCCTGCTCCTGTAAGGGATAGTTTGATCCCTCCGCCTTATGAAGGCGTAAGGGTGGAGGTGACCTGGGCTTTTCTCCCTTCCAGGAAGAGAGGGAGAAGCGGCGGCTGGAGCAGCTGGAGCGCAAGAAGGAGCTGCAGCGCCTGCTGGAGGAGGAAGACTCGAAGCTGAAAGGGAAGTCGCCCAAGCAGGTCACTCCGGGCAAAGTCACCAGGGCCCAGATCGAGGAGACGATCAGAAAAGACCAGCAGCAAAAGGAGAACGCAGATACAGGTTTGGTGGTACCATAGAAAGGCCCTGACAGCTGCGGGGGGCTGGAGCAGGAAGGGGGGCTGTTCCTTTTTCATCTACTGTCACTGAAGGACAAAGTGTTTGGAAAGCAAGAGCTGCCCTCAGCTGTTCTGTGCTGCGTGCTTTGCTGTGTCTGTGTCTAATGCCCAAATGGGGGAAAACAAACCCGTCACCTTGAGGTGGAGAAACAGAGCTGCAGAGCCAGGCACTCTTCTCTCCGAGGACTGGGACTGAACTCTGGCTGCGTTTTCTCAGCGCGTTCTTCAGAGTGCTTTGGAAAACCCTCTTCTGAGGGTTTTGCATGGGCTGGATTTGACGTTAATGTTTCTCCCTTTCCCTGCTTCCCTGTGCAGTTGAGAAGGAGAAGACTCATTTGGAGGTCCCCTTGGAAGAGAACATCAACAGGAGGGTGCTGGAGGAAGGATCGGTGGAGGCCAGGACGATTGAAGATGCCATTGCTGTCCTCAGGTACGTGGCCATATCGTAGCGGTGCTCTCCTTTGAAGGTGTCGCTTTCCTTACGAGAAATTCTTGCAGATGCCCCTTCCCCCAGAGCTGGCTTCTTTTTACGCTTTGACCGTGATTTTCTATCTCGACAGCGAGAACAGGACATGTCCTATGCTCTGTTGTTCTGTGGAGAGTATTTGAAGTGGGTAGGGGAAGTATCGTGGGGTTTTTGCTTTATCACCCAAGTTATTCTGTACGCACTTGGTTGCACTGACAGGGGATCAGAGCGGGGTGAGTGGCTGGTGCCCGCAGGGAGGTGTTGCTGATGCACGTCTCTCTCTGAATTCCCTCCCGGCAGCGTTGCCAACGATCTGGACCGGCACCCTGAGCGCCGGATGAAAGCTGCCTTCACAGCTTTTGAAGAGGTCAATCTGCCACGCCTGAAGCAAGAGAACCCCAACATGCGCCTGTCCCAGCTCAAGCAGCTCCTCAAGAAGGAGTGGATGAAGTCTCCAGAAAACCCCATGAACCAGCGGCACAAAGCTTACAACAGCCAAAAGTAGAACTAGAGCTGATCGTCCCCCACGGACAGTGGGCTGGAGCCCCGGGGCTCTGCTTGGATGAAAACAGGAGACACAAGGAACCTCCTCTCCTTTTGTTTCCCTTCCCTGCCCCCACTTTCTGTCTTTCTCTGTTCTTGGATTTAAGATAAGCACGAGGCCGCGGCTTGCCTCGGGACCCTGCAGTGTCCCGCTGTCTTCACTGGCGGCCTGTCCCCACCATGTCCTCACCCCTCCACAGGCAGCTGATGCAGAGTGACCCGGACAGACTAACACTACCTTCATGCTTCCGAATGCGGTTTTCGTCTTACAAAAAAGCCACTAACTCGCTTCCAGACCGTCAGCGTGGGCAGCGTTTGCGAGGTGCAACGTCAGCACTGCCGCCTGCCGAGGTAGGGACCCCCGCGCTGGTTAGCACTGCGCGTTAACCGGCTCACAGCCTGGTCCTGAGCCAAAACTGCATTCGTCCCTGTCTCTACCGTGGCTGCGCCGCACCCTCGTGCTCTGCGGGGTGAAGTTTTGTAATTGTCACGAGGAAGGCGCCTGCCCTCTGTTGCTTGTGTCATCCTCGGTGCTGGGATGTCCCCGAAGAGATTCCAGACTGGGATCGCTGTTGGTCTTGCCTGCTGCCGGCCACCTCTCTGCTCTTGATCTCGGCTGGTGGCGCGTTAGATGGGGAGGAGGAACCAGAACGGGAGCGGAAGCTCTGTCAGCACTGTCGTGCGGAAGAGAGAAAATGACCTTCCATCTTCGAAGGGGAATGGGAGAGATACCACAGCGCAGCGTGGTCCCTGCCTCGTCTGCGCAGGACGCTGCTGCCAGATTTCTCTGTGTGACTTTGTGGTGGCCTCGCCCAGAGCCTCACACGCTGCTGGTGGGACAGGAGGGTTCCTGGAGGGGCTGCAGCCCCATGCTACCCAAGAAGGGAAGCTGCTGCTTCTCCCATCGCTTCGTCCCCTCCCTTCTCCCAGGTTCAGGCAAGAAAGTGCCCTGCAGGCCTGTGGAAGGGGATGTGAGACTGTCAGCTCAGCAGCTTCCCTCGCCGCTGGACCGAGGGCACTAACCCGGCTGTGCCGCCTCTGCTGCCCTTTGGCCGGAGCCCCATGGTTTCTCCGCTGGCCCAGGCAAAAAGAAATCGGTGAGCTCCCTTGGGAGGGCCGCGGCAGCACCCGGGCAGGGCTTAGCCCCGGAGCCACGGCGGAGTCCTGCCCCTCCCCTCAAGCACGCCCTGGGTTTTCCTCTCTTCCCTCTCCCCTTTCGCGTCTCTTCTGGTCTCCTTTGGGAGTTAAATTTGTTCCTAAGGTCTAAACCCTTGACCAGGCAGCAGCTCCGCTGTCGTTGGTGCTTTACCTGTGTGTTTATCCGGGGCTGCCAAACAGAGATAAACTCACGGCTGGCTTGGCATCCTGCTGGGGTTTCTTCCGATGTCGCTAAACAAACACAGGGTTCATCCCCAGGCAGGTAACGGGCAGCGTGTGGCCTCTACCCCTGCGGAGGATCGCCTGCGAGCAGGCAGGGAGGGTTGCAGGAGTCCTCGAGGCTGCAGAGGCATTTGCACTTTGGTGGTGAAGGGGTTTGAGGAGGCCATGCTCAAGCTGAAGCCTGCGGCCATTTTGGGGCTCTCCCCAGCCCTCTCTGCACCCTGCTTGCAGAACCAGCTGGAGGAGCTGGGCCGGCCCCTGCCAGCGTTCTCCCCGATCCTGCTTGTGCAAGGCCAGGCGGTAAAGACAGGGAGGAATGCACCCGGTTGTTTCCCCTTTCTGTGAGAAGTTTGTTGTGTTTGAAGCCAATTAAAAATTAAAAAAAAAAACCCCAAACCCTCTTAACTTGTTGAAGGAATAAAGGCCTGGTGTGGAGGGCTCTGTTTTCCTGGCTTGCTCGGGGTTGGGGGGGCTCTTTCCTCCCCTGAAATGGCTGCTAAAAATCCTGCTGGGGTTTGT